GGGCCTCTTAATCGACAGAGTTTTATCAACTGAGCCTGAGTCACGAATCAGCTCCCAGCTGGGACACACATCAGGTCTCTGCTGGGACACACACCATACCAGGTTTATTTATAAAGCACATTTAAAAACAGCATGGCAGCTGACCAAAATGCTGTACAGTAGTAATAAAAAGGAGAAACCCCAAGATAAAAACAAGATAAAAATCATATAGGAGATAAAAGGAATAACCTAAAAATTTAAAAGAAACATACTAGAGTTAAAAACAGAGTCACAATAAAAACATAAAAACAGTAAAAGCTTGGTCATTGATCAAAAGCTAAATGATAGAAGTAGGCCTTCAGTACAGGCTTGAATCGACCCAGTTCTGGGGCCTGTCGAACACTAAGGGGGAGAGCATTCCAAAGTTTAGGAGCAGCGAACGCAAAGGCCCGCTCCCCACGAGATTTATACCTCATTTTTGGGATGCACAAAAGCAAGAGATCTGCCGATCTCAGGTTTCTGGTTGGAGCATAAGGCTTAAGCAGTTCTGACAGATAAGCAGGGGCTTGACCATTCAGGATGTTGTAAACAAAGGTCAAAACCTTAAACTAGATGCAATATTTAACAGGCAGCCAGTGCAAGCGTGCAAGGACAGGTGAAATGTGACAGCGTCCAAAGGTGTTTGTCAGGAAGCTAGCCGCCACATTCTGTACTCTCTGAAGACGCTCAATTGCTGAGACACTGACACCAATAAGTACTGAGTTGGCATAGTCTAAATGTGAGGTGACAAAGGCGTGAACAACAGACTCCAGCTGTGGTCGTTTGACTATTGACTTTAAACGTGAGATGCGACGTAGTTGAAAAAAACAAGACCTGACTGTAGCGTTAATTTGTGAACTCACTGACAGATCAGAGACAAGTTTCACTCCCAGACTGGTTACACAAGATTTGAAATTTAAAAATGGTAGATAGGAAATCACCAGGTGCATGCTTTGGATTTATTGGATTAAAGAGAATGGCGTCGGTCTTGTTTTCGTTAAGGCAAGGGAAGTTCTCCGACAGCCAGCCTTTAACTGCAGTAATACAGTCAACGAGAAGGCGTGTCTAGTCAGGTTTACTTAAAGCCAAATAAATCTGTCAGTCGTCAGCGTAAAGGTGATAACTTATTCCAAGGTTTGCTAAAATCATCCCCAATGGCAATAAGTAAATCGAGAACAGGAGTGGCCCCAGAATCAAACCCTGAGGCACACCCCGGCGAAGTGGGGTAGATGGAGAGGAAAATGTGTCAATGTGAACACTAAATTGCCTATCTGACAAATAGGACCTGAACCAGTGAAGTGGGGTCCCTTTCACCCCCACCCACAACTCCAGCCTCCTAAGTAGGATGTCATGGTCCACTGTGTCGAAGGCAGCAGAGGTCCAGGAGTAACAGGACATGGGAACCAGTATCAGTTGCCACCAGGATATCATTTAATACACGAAGGTGTGCAGTTTCTGTGCTGTGGTGAGGCCTAAAGCCAGACTAAAAGTGGTCAAGGAGGCTTTGATCTCCCAAGTAATTGGAAAGTTGAGTGTGGACTACTTTCTCAATAATCTTGGATAAAAACGGGGTTTGGAAATCGGACGATAGTTAGAAAGGTCAGTATGATCTGGGCCAGGTTTTTTCAGTAGTGGATGCACGACTGCATTTTTGAAGGTGGTTGGAATCACTCCAGTCGAAAGGCTGCTGTTGACAATTTCCAGAATAAATGGCGCCAGCACAGGAAGGGCCCCAGCTAGTAGTTTGGGTGGGAGGGAGTCCTCACACGTCAGCTCCCAGCTGAAACCCACCAAACCTATGGTGGGAAGCCTGCTGTTTGGGAAAACAGGCCAAATTTGACTTAAAAATGAATTTATATTTGAATTGTAACGACGATCAAAGCTCTGAAAATATGTCAGAGGCATGAGGAAAGATTTTTGAATTGGATTGCTTAGAAAAGTGTTGGTTGTGGGGGAGCATGCTGCTCCAGTGAAGAATATAAGGGCTCTGCCAGATGCTGGCAGGTCCCTTAATTAATATTAGAGCCAGCAGTAACTAGATAAATGCATCTCTTTCCAAAAGATTGCTGAAAAGCTGAGCAGATCCACCAGGGTAACAATAGGTTAGGATTTTGGGTCGGGGGTGAACTGGAGCTCCCAGAGAAAACCCCCACGCAGCACAAGGACACACAGAAATGATGTGGAGGTGTGTTTTCTGTGACGTAATCCTTGTGTGGTCATTTTTTTTAAATTTACAGACGACTAGGTGGTGATGTGTCAGGGAAGGGACGTGATTTAGTCACCCTTGATGGAAGTTCTCTTATTTTGTAATCATCTAAAAACGAACTAAAAACTAACAGTTTGATTATTGATCTTATAACTAATGAACTAAAAATGCATCTAAAAACTATAATAAACCAACTAAATGTAACAAATGAGCATTTAGACTCAGCCGTGGGAGCATATCGGACTCGACCTAAGTGAGAACGTGTGTGCATCCACTGCAGAACGTGGTATGTATAACCCCATGCTGTCGTTCTTTGTTTAAAACACAGAAACAGTTTTGTTTCCTGTTTTTCCGCTACGTTTCGTCTGCGGCTGCAGACTTCCTCAGGCTGACGCGTGGTATCTATAGATTTAGCAACTATGTGCTGCTACAAAGAACAACTCCATATACTTTTTTCTAAGGTCCCGGTATAAACCTTCTCCTTTGTTCAGATCTTCCTGAAGTTTGCTCTTTTCTACGTCTAACTGCTGTGCCATCTGGACTCTAAGCGCCTCTTTTTCAGACTGAATAGTTAAAATAGTTTGTGCTGCTTCCTCACGTTCTTTTTCCATCTCCTGTTGTAAACTTTCTATCTGCCGTTTACTATTAAAAACCTCAGTTTTATACTTTTTCTCGAGGTCCTGACAAGAAACCTCTCTCTCCTCCAGATCTTTCATAAAATTCCTCTTTTCTGTTTCAAACTGTCTTTCCATAGCTCGTGCTTTGTCCTCCATCTGATTATAAAGCTCTACTTTTTCATCCTGAACAATCCTAATCATTTCCTCGTTTTCTTTACAAAGTTTCCTTTCATTCTTTAACTCCCTGTGCAAATTTTCCACTTGCCGACGGCTCTCTGAAAGCTCACTCTTATAATTTTGTTCCAGGTCTTGATATAAAACGTCTTTCTGCTCGAGATCTTTCATGAAATTCATCTTTTCTGTTTCAAACTGTCTTTCCATAGCTCGTGCTTTGTCCTCCATCTGATTATAAAGCTCTACTTTTTCATCCTGAACAATCCTAATCATTTCCTCGTTTTCTTTACGAGCTTTCGCTTCCTTCTCTAATTCCCGGTGTAAATGTTCTACTTGCTGACGGCTCTCTGAAAGCTCAGCTCTATACTTATTGTCGAGGTTTTGATACAAAACGTCTTTCTCCTCGAGTTGCCTTATAAAAGTTCTCGTTGTTTCGTCGTACAATTTGTTCAAATCAGATGTCTGCTGCTGCATTTGGGAACAGAGATCTTCTTTCTCTGCCTGAATAGTAAAAATAATGTCTTCTCTTTCTTTACGAATTTGTTTTTCCTCTTCTAACTCCTGGTTTAAATTTTCCATCAGCTGTTTGACATCTGAAAGCTCAGCTCTATATCTATCGTCGAGGCTTTGATACAAAACGTCTTTCTGCTCCAGATTCTCTTCTAATTGTCGTATTTTTTGTCCAAACCGCCGTTCCATCTCATCGGCATCCTTAATCGTTTGAAGACGGAGCGCCTCTTTCTCTGCCTGAATAGTGAGGATAATATTTTGTTGTGTTTCCCGCGTCTCAGCATGAGATGCTTTCTCTTTTTCTAGTTCCTTCAATGAAACCTTCAGACAATCGTTTTCAATCAAAGTGTTCACTGTTTCCTTGTAAGATCTTCTCACTTCATGATGAGCCTTTTGTTCTTCAAGAAACATCTGTTTGTAATCGTTTGCCCGTTTTTCAGCGGCTAAAACTTTAGCTTCTGCTGTCGCGATGCCTTCCTGAAGGGAAATTATGAGACAGTCTTTCTCTTTCAGTGTTTCAATAGTCTGCTCATAATTTCTCTTGGTTTCATTGTGGGACTTTTGTTCGTCCTCAAAAGCCTTAATGACCACTTGTGACGCTCGACTCATTTTTTTGATAGTTTCAGAAAAATATACCTTGGCATCTTGGCATCGCTCATGTTTTTCTGTGGTCGAAAGGTTGTTCAGCCAGTTTATGTCTTCCTGGTAAATTATGGTCTCCATTGATGCTTTTTCTGTGATTTAAATGTCTTAAGAATGATTAATATGTGTGCAGATAAGCTATCGGCGAATGTAAGACCTCTTCTCTTCTGAGATGTGTTCTCTAGGAGACGCTCTTTAATACTGTGTGTATGACGTCACTGAGCCCTTTGTATAGGCCACGCCCCCTAACGGAGACCACAAGCAGCAGCGCAGCAGCGTCTGGATTGGAACCGCATAACTTTTCACAATAAGAGTCTGAAACATAAAGCATGCATCTCAAAAGACCTTAGGCTTAAATATTGTTTTGTTAAACATTTTCTCTCATTATTATCTGACAACTGGATTTTGAGGCTAACTTAGTTTAAAAACTTTAGTTGTTTATGAGGAACGAGTGATTTCTTGAGACTCTTATTTTGAAGGGTTAAAGTTCCGTTGTGCACAATACCCTTTACAAAAGTAAACAGTGCCTTGTACTGATAGAAATTAAAAAATAATTTGTAAGATATAGATTTAATTATATATACATATATATATATATATATGTATATAAATATATATATATATATATATATATGTATATAAATATATATATATATATATATATATATACATATATTTATATATAACTCATATTTCTACTTATTAGTTTAGTTGTGTTTCGTTTTGAATAAAGAGTATTTTAAAAGGCTTATGTGATGTATTAGAAAATGTTAAAAGTTATAGCTAGTTATGCTAATGTTATGCAAGGTGAAAATTGTCATGTTAGCAAGGGCATCAGTTTGTTTTCAGAATTGCTGGGGACAATAAAGTAGGCTAGCACAGGGGTCAGCAATCCGCGGCTCTGGAGCCGCATGCGGCTCTTCCATCCATCTGATGCGGCTCTTCCATCCATCTGATGCGGCTCTCTGTGCTTGTAAAATAATGAATGGATATTTAAATAAAAAGCTTTATATTTTACTGCATTAATTTTACATCTGTATGCCAATTCTAAATGTAAAGATTGTCTGCGTAAACCTGAACAGTTCCAACCCGGTCTTACTGTGAGACCGGGTTGACGCGTCACGCTTGTGCGTAATCATGGGCACTTTATGAGCTGGAGGATGTCAGATTCTGGGATTCTCCTCAGACAGCTCCTGGATGCGTCGCCACATTGGAGACAGGAACAAGCACTATTCAGCCAAAGTTTCATAATCAGGTTTGGCAGTGTGAGTGTCCTGTCACAGTGTCCCGATAGATAATGCGCCCTGGCTACTTGGCCAAGGGGTTGTCCCTTTGGCTGACTGGTTAGAGCGTATGACTCTCACCCGGGAGTCTGGGGATCGAAACGCACCCGGGCCCACGTTTCATTTGACTGTTTATTTTGACCGATGAACTCAAGGATGTTGCTTGGTTTGAAAGAATTACCCCGACGCACACGGATGCGCATGGATGAGCTGACATTTTAATCGTTAACGCACATCGCGGAGGTAAAATATTCCCATCAGAACATCAGAGCTTTATACTGGACACTGTGTTCAGCGTGGCTCGGAGCGCCCACGGTAGACAGTGAGCTGAAGATCTGGGGTTCGCAGCGCAGCCCAGAACCGGCGCATGCGATAAGATTTCCTCCCACTGAAACAGTCTGGAAACCCAGTCTCTCTGAGGGATGTCACTTGGAAAAATGTTCTTTTTATGAAATTATGAAACTTTGGCTGAACAGCGCTTGTTCCCGTCTCTAATATGGAGACGCATGAGCGTAGAGACATTTGATTACGCACCAAGTTTACGTGGAGCAGAAGCGGTCGGGCCACGGCAGGTGAAACGTTCCTAGCCTACATGAAGTGAAACTGTTTAATTGTAACATTAATATGTTACTGGACACGCTGGTCTGGTTGGTTAGACCAGTGTTTGAAGTGGAAAACACACACACACACACACACACACACACACACGCACGCACGCACACACGCACGCACGCACACACACACACACACACACACCAATCAAGATAATGCTGATAGCGTGGACTAGAAGACAGGTGATGGTTTACGTATTTAAATGATGATCAGGCTGCTGTAAAATGTAATCTCCATCCACATCCAGACACAATTATCCTCTATTCTTTATTTGCTCTGCTCTTGTCTGGGCTGACGGAGCTGATGGTGTGCGCGATGCGCCTAACTAGCGGCTGATGCACATTTTACGCATTTGGAGAGGTGGGCTGGATGCTTTGCGTTTACTGGAAGACGGTCCACTTAACGCACGGGTGTAGACTACATATTAATGACAAATGAATGAAAATTAAATTGTGAGTTTTTACTTCATATTTTATAAGTAAAAAGGATGGGGGAACACATTTATGACGTCTTTTTAAACTAAATTTTCTAGCGCGACCTGCCTGCTTCACTTAAGTCACTGCTTATTAAGGTCTGTCCAGAATTACCGTGGGAAACGGGTAATAATGGCTCTTTGATGGGAACAGGTTGCCGACCCCTGGTATAAGATCTGAGCTGGTAAAACAAAACTCCTCATCAGCAGGCGTTTTTGAAAGTGGGGGGGACACAGCTGCCAATCACAAATTTTGCCGGGGACATGTCCCCGGCGTCCCCGGTTAAAATGACACCAATGAGTATTTGATTTGATAACAGTGATTCGTTTAGTTGTAGTCCATCTCTTCGCCACAAGGAGGCAGGCGTTCCAAAGAGTTTTCTGTTTCTGTGACGTTGTCGCGCGACGAAATGACGACATGTCCTCGTTGTCCAATATGGCGAAGAAACAACGTGGGAAAACCCGAACAGGTTATTTTTTAAAAACAGGTGATGTAGAAAAACCAACTAAAGCTTTTGCATTGACGCTGGAATCGAGCGACGATGAGGCGCCAGAGGAGGTTACATTTGAGGACTCCAAGGCTCAGGCTTTACGGAGCCTGAAACGGGCGCTGGACTCGGCTAAAAGGTAGCTAACTGTTAGCTAACTAAAGGCACTGCGACAAACTCCCCTAAAAAATAAACGCAAGTTATTTATCCCGAGAAAACCTCCAAGCAAATAAATTACAGGTCGTGTTTTATTGTGCATTCTTGTTAAATTGGTGATCTTTTGAATGGTTGCAATTTTTGCAGAGAGAAGGAGCTGCTGAAGGAGAAGAGGAGGAAAAAACAGGAGCTGTTCCAGGAACAGAAGGTGTGTGTATGCGCGCGAGCATTTAATGTGGCTCTTGACTGGAATCATCTGTGCTTTTGTATCTCTACGAGCCGAGTTCATTTCTGAACGTATTCATTAGTTTAAGAATCTGATGTTTGCATTTAGATCATTTATTTACAGTCTGGGATGTTCCTAGTATTTGTAGAAGCCATCATGAACTAACACACCAATAAATAAAACCCAGATCAGCTCAAACTGAGCTCTAGATTTAAACTCTAAAAAACATCAGGCTGGTAATTAATAAGGCCCAGTTAAAGGGATGATGTCTTTAAATGAATCAAGTAAGAGCGGAAACACAGCTTAAAGTATTAGTACATGTCCTGTCATCTGATAGAAAAATCATTTAATTATGGATAATCGTGTTATTGAGGTAAACATGTAAACTGTTGTAGTATTTTTACCACCTTGGGATACGTTAGTCTTCACCAGCATGTTCATCCTAGTTCACAAATTACAGGTGAGCTTGACTTTTCCCTCCTTTTAACGTTTGCATCATTTCTCCACAGAAAAGAAAGCTCCTGCCTGTTGAAGTGTTGGAGGAAATCGACTCGCCCCCTTCAGAGTAAGTTTTTATTCAACTCCTGCTCTATGGTTTCACTTGTTTTGTCCTCTGACTCCCATCATCCCTCTCCTGGTTTTTCTGTTTCTCCAGGAAACACAAACAGTCGGAGGATGGAGGTAAAGCTGTTTCCTGTTCTTCAATCAATACTTTATTAATCCCAGAGGGAAATTAGAGTTTTCGGTACACACAATTCAGAGATCAGACATACATGGGCAAGACACATGACAAGAATTGGTGACTGTGGTAATTCGCAACCCGAGTCGCGCTACCTTAATAGAGATAAGAGGGTAACATGAGGAATTGGTTCAGGTGGAGGGGGGAAAAAGGCACTTCAGAGTTACCCTCCCACCAGGAGGGCAGCTTTGCTCTGCAAAAAAACACCTCAGACAGATATGCAACAGACTTCAGACAACACAACATGAGACTCCAATAGGAAGGCGGCGGGGGGGGGGGGGCTGGGATCCTGTTTCCCCCAGCGAGAGCAGCCATCTACGGCGCTCAGCCACTGTACAGTCACAGGTGGGAAGGAGATCTTGGAAGAAGCGCAGAGCACATTGACTCCTGCAGGTTGATGACCTCGCCAGGCTGCAGTTCACTAATCCGGGGGGGGGGGGGGGGTCGGGTTTTCACATTATCTGTCTGCATTCCTTTGTGGGGGTTTGTAGCCGCTCAAGGCTACCAGGGCGTCAGATTCGGATAGTAAGAATTTGTTTGGTTCAGGCTGAGATAATTTTCCTCTCTGCCTTCAGTCTTTAAACTGATCATTCCAGTCCTTCAATGAAGCCAATTTTGGGTTTTTAAACCTGTCCATACCGTCCGGTGACTCTCTCCGAGATGACATCCATTTTGCGCACTAATACCGGTATCGCAGCTAGAACATTGTCCAGCTTACGATTCACCTCGAGTAACGTCCCAGTCTGAGAAGTCTCCACACGGACGGTGCTTTCCGTGGTTGCGGGTCGCCCTCCAATCACTCCCGTCTTCTCAAATTTCCAGAAAACCAGATATCCTCCCACTCCAATCAGGAGAAATCCAGTGATCATCAGACCAAATATCCACACGTCTTTGATATCCTCAATGGACAGCTGGCTGAGGCATATGATCTTCCACTGTTTCCAGGAATCCAACATATATCCCACCGGATGTGTCCCCTGTGGACATGTGGGAGCCCTCTGCTCCGTTCTCATTGTTGAAAAAATCTAAATCTGTTAGAATGCAAATGTTAAGTGAAAAAAAAGCTGCTGATCAGAATAACTTAAATTCATTTTTTCACACAGCGGAAGAGGAGGCAGAAGACAGAACGACGAGTGTCAAACTTCCAAATGTCAGAATGTATGTAAATATTTTCCTTTCATTGAAAATGACATTTTCATTGGTCGACTTGAAATTTTAGCAAAACTGCTCATCTTCACACTTTCTAAGGGCTGAAATTTAAATTACAACAAAGCAATGTGGAGTTTATTGTATCAAGTGGAAGGAAACCCGAGTTTGACTGTAGTACTTTAGTTTCTGACTAGTCTGTAATCGAGTCACTCTATGAAACGAGGATTTTCTCCCCCAGCTTTAAAGGAAACTACACGGTGAGAGCGGCGACAGAGCAAACTGCAGCAGCAGCCTTCCAGCGGCAGGCAGCAGAGGATTTCATCCAGTCGAGACTTTACGGACCAGGAAGCTGCAGAGGGACAAGTAAGACTAAAACAGCTGGAAACCATCGCGAACAAGAACTAGAAGTCTGTTCCAGATCTGAGTCTTGATCTAAAATCTGAGCTCAGATACTCAGATATTTTAGTTTTAATCAGTACTGAGCTACAGATTACTCATCTCTATTGTTGAATACTTCTAATTAAAATCTGCTGTTTGATCTTAATACAGAATAAAATGAGTTTAATTGTTGGTGTGCAGGCTACACTCTGAGGCAGAAGTCTGAGAAGACGATTATCTGTCTCAATTTGAGCTCTGCTACAGCAATGTCCCATCTAATCTCACCGAGGCGTTCTCTAGATGTCCTACTGGAGACACGATGGGGACATTCAGTTTTCAGGCTGGTTTTCCAAGCTTTTTGTTAGCCTCTATTTATGCTTCTTGTTTCTCTTCTAGATAACGAGCTTCTCTCCATCCAGAACAAGAACGGGGGGAAGAAAAGTGCAGCGGTGCAGTTCGTTAAAAAAGGCTGGGGTAAGTTCAGCATGGGCGGAGCTTCTCACACAGGAAAGGAAATGTCAACACGTCAGAACATAACTGAACCGTTTGTGTTTGGTGCAGCCTGTGAGAAGAAAGCAAAAGCAGAGAAGATGAACAAGAGGTGGATCCACAAACAGCAGATTCCCTCCAGCTGATGCGACAGACGTGTCGGATTAGAATCTTTAACGGGCCTCCTCCACATCGACCTGCAGAGTTCTGCTCAGAGAATCTGGACCAACCATCAGAAACCGTTTTGGACCGGGTCGGTGGTCTGGTGACAGAACCGGGCTCAGCTGCAGTATTCACTGAAACGTTTACGTTTGGCTTTAAGAACTTTGTTTCCCCAAGCATCTCCTGTGAGAATCTTCGGTTCCTGATGATTAAATAGTTAAGCAAATTTTTTTGCTGCAGGTAAACAAACTGATTTATCTTTGAGAAACAAATATTTCAGTTTCTGTAAATTATATTTAATCTGTTTTCATACACTTCCTGTCCATTTTCATGTTCAAGGACAAACTATTAATTTTGTTCACTCAAAGGTAAATGTGTAAAATTGTTTTCATGCTAACAGAACCCTTAAGCCTTTCGGTCACGTGAATTTTGAGGAAACGTGTGAATGATGTAGAGCCAAATGTTTTTCCAGATTATCTTCAGACACGTCAATTGGGATTAAACTGACCCAAATCCACAAATTCCCTGGAAAGCAGAAAGAAACAGGAGCTTTGAGCATCACACTCTCACACACGTGCTCTCATTTGTTTTAATAGAAATCTTTTCACCCGCACACAGATTGCACATATTTTTTTTTCTCCAAATGGACACAGTCAGCAGTGGACAACTTACTGGTTGACATCTTCCGTTTCCAGCGTGAGCGCGCTAAAAGGATAAACGAAAAGAGACATCTAACTTGATCTTACCACCACTACTATGGCATGCATAGGTTTCAGACTGCACTCAGAGACAACAGACACTTTGTCTAAGAAGTTGGTTCAACGATGCTGTGACAGATTAAGAAAGGAGAAGAAACAAAACGAGGTACAGAGAAGCACGATTCCACTTGGAGGGAACCGGATTTACGGTGGACGAGTTCGGCTGATCCTCTTTATACATATTTGGTTTAAGGTGGCAGCCACAGTGATGTGGACAAAACAGAACACTCCTTATGGTTTTTGCATCTTCATGAAGAATCTGGAAGGTCTGAAGGCTGGTGGGTAAAGTTCTCCCTGGGAGCGACTGGCAGGTTAATACACCCAAATGCTATGTTGAGATTTAGACAAATTTAAGATTAATCCTAATCTGGACAAAACCTGATCTGGGAGAAACTAGCATGAATTAAACCTTACTGGCCTGGAGTCTGATCATTTGGGGAATCTGCTCATAAGAGTTTCAGACAGTCAAATTAATTATCTAAGTGGTCCTGTGGTGTGAAAATGACAAAAAACCAAATCAGCTTTTAAAAAATAAATGCAGATTTTAAGCATCAACACCAAAAATAAAGGTAGGCTTTATCAGGATTTTTGACCCAGATGAGTGAGTTCTGTGGCCAGTTTTACTTAAGGAAGATGTGGGCCATTTATAAGTCTTTGTACATTAATGGTTATAAATTCTCTTTATTACCAGCTTCCTGAATGGCCTCCATTTGGAGAAATGGAGTTTACATCCTTCGGGATTGATAAGCCAACGGTTAGCTGTAAAGTTGCTGTCCCAAAACAAATTCCCAACTCCTAAATAAACTTACACCGCTGTCAGTTTTGGTCAGATCAGCTAATATTAGGAAACCAAAAGGAGGTTTTACCTCCACTCGGTCTAGCCATTAGCTAGCCATCCTGGGATGATGTAAACAATTTCTCGTTTTTACAGAATGCCCAACCCATCCCTTTCTTGTGAAACAACTAGAATAGCTAAAGGGATAAATCAGCTCCTGAGATCCTCGTGGGTCCAAATAATCAGCAGAAACATCAAAGAGACTATACAGATGTTTGCATTAACCTGCTGTGGTCCAATGGATAACTAATCAGTTCTAAAACAGGGATCCTTCACAGAAAAGTCAGACTTGTTGGAAAGTGTTTGACGATTCTCCTGACAAATTTAAGGAATTGGTATTATTCTATATAACAAACGATCAAATGAGTGGACTTTACCAGCAGGAGTCGAACAGAAATGACTGGAACCCAGCAGCTTGTTTCAGGAGCTGCTGCCGTCGGTACAAAACATTAAAGGGCTGTTTTTTTTTCCAATGATTTCCTTGTTTTGATAACTAAATATGTCGCTCTATTGATAGAATTTCCATTTAGTTAAATCCGTATAGAAACGTTAACATGTACACACGCTGGTCACTGGGAGTCGTGGAACTGGGATCTTTATTATAATAAGTTGGTGGAATTTGCTGTGAATGCATGAAATAATTATAATAATTATCATTATTGTCTGCACCATGCCTTGTAAACCTGAAAACAAAACTAAAAACCAAAACGACTGCAGAGTAATTGCCACCACCCCCCACTCTGCTCAAGAAAACAAAAACTAAACAGAAGATTAAAAACGAGACTTGCAGATTCCCTTCAGCTTCGTCGAAGTCCCAAGTCCACATGCGTCACACAAATCCGCCTGTGTCCTGAAGGTGGGGGGGCAGTGGGAGGGGTGGAGGCTGTTGATGGCTGTGGTCCGAGCACTCAGCGCGCCTTGGTGGAGCGGGACTCAAACCAGCAGGTGTCCACCTCCCTGTGTGTGTGAGCCAGGTTTACAGGGATTACGGTAAGCGTCGTCAGCCATGATGGCCTCACACCCCTTTGAGTTTTTCTTCCCCCTCCCTCACACACCATCCTTTCAGCTTCTTCAGGGTTTTGTTTTTGTCGAGCTACCCTCCCAACATTGTGTGTGTGTGTGTGAGAGGGAGAGAGAGAGAGTGCTGCTGTGAGTCCACATCAGTTGGTCTCAAGGTATTTTGATGTTGGTCTGCGGTTCCCCCATCGTCATGACTGCAGCCTCCAGGAGCTGCAGGATGGAGCATCAGAGGTGGAGGCTTCGTTTTTTTCTTATATCCGATGAAAAGGAAGCAGTGTGTGTGTGTGTGTTAATTTTACAAGTATGTTGTGGGATTTCTAAAGAGGTGTCCAGAAATGACCCCCGACCCTCAGAGGTGTCGTGTTGGTTTCTACAAGCAGAACAGACAGCGAGTGAGAGGGTTTACATTCTCCTAAGTCCTACAGAGGACATCTCCTCAGCTAGTCAGACTACACTGATAGATGAAATGGAGGAAGACATTTCTGGACGGCCTTTAGAGTGTGTGTGTGTGTGTGTGTGTGTGTGTGTGTGTGTGTGTGTGTGTGTGTGTGTGTGTGTGTGTGTGTGTGTGGCTAGTGCAGGTAATCGTCCACGGAGGCGAAGGCGCAGGAGCCGATGCCAGTTCGAGCCATGATGGCGAGGCACTGGGCGGCCTGACCCACTGCCTGGGCCAGGGGGGGCTGCTTGGGAAGGTTGTGAGTTTCTAAAAACAAAACAAAAAACAAGAGTGTCTTATTTCTACCAAGCTGTTAAACACCACTTATGCCTGGTTTATGTCAGCCGTGGCCAAAGTGAGGCCCTTGGCTGCCATTTAAGAATGATCGCGTTTTGTCCAAACAGAAAACAGCAGATGCAGATCATTTAGACTTTTTAAAGGTTTTTTTTTATTAATATGAGGCTGAAACCAATAAGTTGGGACTTTTACCAACAGCTGATTTGTGAGCTCTGCTCATGAAACGTGACTAAATCCAGAAAACATGACAGAAGAACATGACTCACATTTATTTATCAACACAAGGAACTAGAAGATCCACAGAATTTAATGCTTTTCTTTTATGAAGATAAACCTTCGAGACTAGAGTCTCAATACGGTTTTTTAAAGCAGGATTTTTTATTTAAATCAAACTCTCATGATTCCTGAGGACTTTCAGTTTGGGTGTTTTGTGTTTGAACACCCCTGATTTTTGTATTAAATATATATTAAAAATCTATTCTAACAGCATTCTAACCCTAAAATCTCAAAGTGGACAAATTAAACCACATGATGGGCTGTGACAGGCATAAATACTCGTTATGATCAGTTCTGCTGACTAATGAACCCTGAATGATGGACTGGGGTGGAGACCCACCTAGTATTGCACTGTTGAGAGTGGAGCAGACCGGCTCTCTCTGAACGGCGTCCAGCTGGTAGCCGACCGGGCTGTTCCAGGGGTCGGAGTAGGCCAGCAGGCTGAATGCATCCTGCAGCAAGACACAAACACGCTGATCACAGATTCAACGGCTGTGTCCGACACACTAATGCAGCTCTAACTGCAGGTAGGAAAAAATCAAATATCTCAGTCCCAACAACAACCTCTCCTTAATTCTGTAAACATGCAGATTAATTCTGACATTTAGAGAACAACATGTCAGTTTCTCTCTAAAAGCACTTCAGTCCTGCAGTCTTCGATTTTCCAGCAGATCTTTTCCACCCACCTTCCTGAAAAAATGTCTGAAGAAATTTGAATGTACATAAATAAAACGTATTTAGAGTTGCTCCTCTCTACTTTTTCTGTTGGTCCTACTTCACAGGTTATCATGTGGTGTAAAGGAACAGCTTACATTTCTGTGTGTGAACAAGTATTTCAGGACTGCAGCTAGTTCCGTGAGCAACATAAAAACATCTGAGACAGGAAGTGAGCCGAAGCGTAGAGATTTCCACGTTACCATCAACATCTTCTTGTTGGCAGAGTTCTTGCCACACTCCCGGCGGAGGTGTTCACTCATGCTCTGGAGGTCCCTGCCGAAGAGGATCATTCTCTCAATGGCCGCCTGGCTCCCGCCACACAGCTGCCTCTTGGACTGGGCTGACTCCACCTCTGCAGAACCACACACACCAACATCCAAATCAGGAGCTTCATAATGTTAGCGGAGTCTGTAGAGATGTTTTAGGACTCCAGAGATTAGGAGGAAATCACAGAAATAAAATAAAGATGACCAAAGGAATAGTAGTTCAGGTCGCTCACAGCTGATTAGATGCAACTAGGTCTCACACACACACACACACACACACCCATGTCTGCGTCACAGTCTTCAGGTTCTGCGGCATGTTTGGAGGTACCGTTCAGGAACCCATTGGAGGAAGATTCTGTCACTCCGTTGGTGAAGTGATCCACCTCCATCTCCACGTCGTTACTGCAGGGAAACAGGAATCTGATTTTACATGTAAAACTAACTCTAGAAGTAATTATTGAACATTAAGATAAGATAAGAACAACTTTATTTATCCCGAGGGAAATTCTTGTGTCATGTACATGCTCAAAGCAGTAGGAGAGACAAAGGAACAGGTGAAATAGAAATATGATATACAATATATACAGTAAAAAATGATCTACAGTAGTACCATGTAGGATAGTGCAAAACAAACAATCGCATATCTCAACAAATAAATACATGACTGCATCCTTGTGAATAAGTAATTAAGCCGTCGGTGCAGGCGATTCACAGAAGTGATTAAAGTATTGTGTAATAGAATAAGGGTTTGTAGCAGCATATGATATGATGGGGGGATAAAAACATATTTACAATCAGAACTCTTGTGTAATCTTGCACAGTCTGGGAGGGAACAGAATAACCTAGGTAAAGGTATTAGGAGAATCACCTATAGGGTGAGGAAGAGTTAAACAATCCTATTGCCACCGGTACAAAGGATTTCCTGTGGCGGTCAGTTCTGCATTTCGGGGAAATGAGTCTTTTGCTTTAATAAACCAGAATTAACTGTTTTTGAGAAACATACACTATAATAATAAACAGGTTGAACTGCCTATTTCATATTTCTGAGTAAACTTAGAAGCAACAAACTGGTACTTTGGATTTGTTCAGACAGAATTTCTCCGTACAACACGTTTCATCTAGTTTAGTTTCTACTGAATGTCTGATTGTCCCTTACAGGTAACCCTCAAGGTTTTCAGATGCAGCATTGAGGCGTCTGTACCTGGTGATGGGCTGCTGGCTACCGTTCAGACTAATGTCAGAACCTTGAAGGGTGGAGCCAGAGCAGGGCTTGTGACTGTGAGGGGAGGAGCTGTGGCTCTTATTAGATGTGACTCCATTACAGCAGTTGCTGTCAAACCCTAAAACAAAAACAAAATAATCCAAAGTGTCACACAGCTCAATCACGTAAATAGCTTCCCGTTGTTTATTTTCTGTGTTTTGTGCATTTGTGGGTTTCATAAAGCATCCGTCTCCAGATGTGAAGAAACCGAGCACAGCTGGACCATACCTGTGAGGTAGGGCTGGGAGCTGCTGGCTTTGTGGCTGGGGCTGCTGAAGGAGCGGGGGGAACCGGGGTAACTGTCCTGAGACTTTGGGCTGCGACCTCCGAGACACCTCACCTCACTGTCTGTCCCATTCACCATCTCTATGAACTGTCTCACCCTGGAGACAGAGCGGGACGGCGGCCATTATGAGTAAGGGAGGAGGAGAATCGAGCGTAAAACAGCAGATCAACACTTGATCCTACTTGAGCATGAAGAGGAGGTCTGGGTTTCTCTCCAAGAGGCTGGGGTAGAGCTGCTGGGTGGTCTCGATGGCTTCACCCATTCTACCTGACAACACCAACTTCTGGATCTCTGCAGCAAACACGACAACAAGCAGGACTGTTTAAAAGCTTTACGGTTTTGTCTCCTCATCTTTGATTACAAACTTTCCTCACATATCCCAATATCTGAAATATAAAAACTAATTAACCCGTTAAGGACTGGGAGTATTTTCTATTAGGATGTCATTCTTCATTTCGTTTTAACAATAAAAAATAAACACATACGACACAAACATCAGAAGCATTCAACTCAGTCAAGCCGTTTTAAACTAGTCTTAATAAATAAAATCAATGTTTTCTCTGGCTTCTTGTACAGATACGATTTACTAAATAATTCAGTATCATTCCTGTCCTGCAAAAAGCCGTCCCTCTCCATAAGGAACGCCGGCATCATGCAGGGTGGGAGACTCACTTTGTCGGTTTTTGATGGAGGCCAGCTCCTCGTGTACGGCCTGGTCGGTGGATTTGGCGAAGGCTTCGGCCGTAGCGCAGTAGCTGTGGTGCACCAGGTATGAAGCCACCATCCTGTGGGGGCAGACAGGTCTGGTTAGGACCCGTGCTTCGACAGCAGCATCCAAACAGCTGAAAGTTCAGCTGTTTCTGCTGTTTCACTTTAATATCGAATCGCTGCGAATATCATCCCAACAGGGGGTTAAGAGCGGACGGAGAATTAAGCCCAGCTTCAGGCACACAGTATGTAAAACTAAAAAGCTAGTAAATCAGGCCTGTAAGTGAATTATTGATTGGGATCAAATAACAGAAATAATATTTAACCAGGATTTCCTGGTTAAATATTTAGATTAAAGCAACCATAGCTACAAAGGTGCAGCCCGTGTGTATTTATTCTGCTGTGTTTACTAAATGTCAGACATAGACTATTCACTCTGTCCATTTAAAATGAGAAAGTCAGAAAAGTACAGTTAGATAATCCTATCAGAAACAGAAGCAGGAAGTCACTTAGTAAACTGGATCCCATAATAGAGCATCTGTTTTCTGTAAGAGTTTTCCTGATCTTGACATTTGATTCCATAGGTTTTATTTTATATTCTGGGATAAAACAAAATTTCCAGGATGATTTTGCTCCTCCAATGTTTATTTGCACACATTCATAACTTCGCTGACTCTGAGCAGGGAGATCTGTGATCAGAGGCTTCTGCTCTCCGTGACTCATCATTCCGTTTCTGTCGCGCCACAAAGATAACATGACCCATTCACGGCTCTGGCCAGAGCTTAAAAACTTCCTGTTTTCCTCCCAGCCTGCAATCCACGGTTCTGGATTTAAAAACCAGGAACAACTGCCTCTGTTCCACTCACCCTCAACTCCAAATGGACCCAAATGGAGATTTAATCCATTCAGGACAAGCTCTCATAGCAACAGAAGCTAATCCCATCACGGCTTGGCACGTGCAAAACAGAATCCTGGAGCATTTACTGATGGATCACATAACAGACGCTGGTCCATCTGGGCCTCGATCCACCTCGGGTCAACAGCAACATCGCCGGGACGTTTCTGGTGCTCTCAATAGGGCTGGGCAGGGACAAGGACCAGAGGGATCCAGAAATAGCAACACTCTTCTTCAGCTGCCATTCCTGCAGCTCTATTATCTTCTCTACCGTTTCTGACTGGGGCTGCAAGAAGTATGCTGCTTTCACACATAACATAAACCACAACATATGGAATGAATGGGTGGTTAAATTCAGATTTTAGTCAGAACTCCTCAATTCTGTGAGCCAAACGGTAAACAGGCACCCAAGGACGAGAAGACTAGACGCACAATAGGGGAATGAGCAGACCCTTAAAAATAACTTGTAAGGGTCTGTTGATGCTCTAGTGTTTCTGTAATGTTGGGAATCTTTATTGAGCAACTACCTTCTAAGTGGCCTTGTGGTAGAGCATCACGCTCTGGGACTGGGAGATCAGGGTTCAAATCCTGGATAGATCATATCAAAGACTTAAAAAATGGGAGCCAACGCCTCCCTGCTTGACAATCAGCTTTTAGGCGTTGGATTGGGTGTTAAACCACCAAATAGTTCCTGAGCACAGCCACAGCTGCAGCTCACCAGTCCTCACGGGGATGGGACAAATGGTGACGTGTCATTTCACCATGGGACTTTAGAAAGGAAAAAAGGTATTCAAGTACTCCAACCATCAAAAGATTTTTTTTTCCAATTATTCTTCATCCATTCTCAGTGAAATTAAGAGGTTTTTTTTTGAGACCCTCTCGTTCTCAAGAGAACCTGTAATTAGGGAACAACCATCTTTCTGCTGAACAGACTAAGTTCACATTCACCTAAATCACAAAAATAAACCACAAACGCACCAATAAGAACACGTAGAAGACCTTGATCTTGAGCTAACGATAGGTGCATTCATGATGCGTTATGTAAGCATGCTAATATTTAAAGACCAAACCAGTTTTACTGGAAAACAAAATGCTTGAATCCATCAACGTCTGCAGAAATGAGGGGAATGTTGATGAGATTTTAGCACCAACAGAGTTTGTTATAATCACAGAGATCAGTCTGTAGTTTTGGCCAAATATTACAGCATTCTATAAAATAAAACTCAAGAAAAAAACTACAACCGTCCCGATGAAAGACTCAGATTATTCTCTTTAGACTCTGGAAAAATAAGCAAATGTGAAACTGACGCTCTTTTGTTGCCTTCACCCAAACAGAAAACAAAAGAGTTCCAGTTTGTTAATTCCAGGAAAGTTAATGTAAACGGCAACAAAAAGGATCAAATATGAGCTGCTGTTGGTCATGTTTGATGACGGTTTGTGTTCCTAGAAGCGGCGTTTCAGACGTGTTGGCAGACGCCAACGTTTATCTGGCTTTGTGACAGCCTCTGCTGCAGGTTCAGAGGAGAAGCGACTTTGAAACAACAAAGAGGCAGAAAGCTGATTAGCTATTGGGACGTGTCAGTGACTCAGTTATTGTTGCTTTCAAAAATACAAGTTGACTGGAAATTTTCTCTTTAGCTTTTTAAAAAGCGTGGAACACTGAAAACCCGTTTTTTTTAATGATTATCACCGATTCTAATGGGTTACTGAGTTTTCATGCATGCTGAACATGAAAATAGTCTCTTACACCTATCTCACATGAAAATAGTCTCCTACACCTATCTCCTGCATTCACTTCTGATAGAAAGCAGACAGTGAAACTCTAGGATTAGAAAAGCCTGACAGATCTAAGTCACACTGTCACTTAACATTCATGGACTCACACATCTTGACTAACGACGGGGAAGGCAGTTGTTGGTTTAGCGTCCAGGAAACAGCAGAGAACGTCTCAGCTAGTACAAGCTAACTGTTAGCATTATCAACTCCACCACACAGCAGAACTCCTCCAGGCTTGTGTTATTTGTGGAGATAAAACATCAATGTTGCAGAGCAGACAGAGTCAGTGGTAGAGTCGTGTTGCTGTTAGCCAATCAGAAGAGAGATGTCCAAATATCAGGAAATAAGACTCCAAAACCTGCTGCCTGAAGCTACTTCACCCTCCGGCTGACTTGTACCCCCTGAAACAGGTGCATCTGAGCCGTTGGTGGTTTTAAGTCTGCTGTAGATGGTAAGAAAGCTACCACTAGCAGCCCTCTAACCTAGAGACTAAGGAAATATCCTCCAGTTCCTTCAGGAGAAGTCACAACCACAGTTTGTAGTCTGGTCTCGCTTAGATAACACATCCCATTTCTCACATAAAAACAAGATCTGTGAAGGGAAAAACAATCTAATCCAGCCTGAGTTTCAAAAACAAACATTTCAGCTTTTTAAGGCTCTTACTTTTGGATCATGGACTGCCATTCACCCTCACGCTCCCCGATGGGGCATCTGTCGATCTGGGCCTGGATTTTTGTCCTCCACTCTCGCATGTAGTCCTCAATGTCAAACACAAACGGGTGCTGGCCAAAGTTTGCATCCACCACCTCCCCTGGAGTCTGAAGGCCGACGGTCGGGTACAAGTTAGGCTGCAGGAGAAAGGGAGACAGGGTTAAATTCAGGAGCAAAGGAGGGAACCGGGAGAGGAAATTAATCTGTACCATAAATCAAAACAGGAAGTAATGACTGAGAAAACAGGAAAAAGGAAAATCTAAGGAAATAACTTTTGCTCTATCATTAAAACGTTAGCTAAAGGAGACAAAATGAGTTATTGTGTAATTAACCCGCCAGTAAAAAGGATTTTCACAAAGATTTAGCAAAAAATAAAACAAAAAAAAATATCCATCAAGGTGACCGACGGCCTGGTTTGTTTATTGGAAACAATGACTCAGCGTTTTTATTGCCAGGTGCTGAGATTTCAGACTCCAAACACTTTTTGGCACTCGACGTTCCAGTCTATTGTTTTAATCTAATCTTCCTGTCGCCACAGTTTCCTCCCCATAGATGTTGTCTCTGAGGATCAATAGTTCCTCAAACTGAACTCCAGTTTGGTTAAACGCCAACTGGTGAAGATGAACAAGCAGAAGCAGCTTTTAGTAGAAGTTTTAAATGCTTGTTGGGAATTTTCTATCTAATTTATTCTATAAAATTATATTTAAAACTCAAAACATGCTACCTGGCAAGCCAGATTAAATAAATGGCCTAACTTTGCTAAGCAAGAGTTTGGTCTAGTTCTCCAGGCTACGGACATGCAGAAGAACATGTAACATAAGCCGAATCGACATTTACACTCATAACTCGCTACATTACACAGTCAAATATCCACATCCTGGACAGCTGCGGGCACCAGACTCACACCCGTGACTTCATGCTGAGACTTTGATGGTTTTTCTGTGGCTCTAAAATGTTCACAGAAACACAAACTGGGTGATTTGTTTGGTTTCTGATGGAGGAAAAAATACACATGTATGAGCTGTAAAGAGCAGAGCACGTGTGCGAGGCAAGGATTGGGTCAACCAATGGATGTAGTCCATTAAAATCACTTAAAGAAAATATGCAACAAAGCTGTGTGTGTCTCTCAGGCTCGTCTTCGTCACTGCTCGATAACCACAAAGGTCAGCTGTGCCGAGGTGACGCACTTCACTGTACATCTCTGGAGGAACATGAATATCAGGCTCACAGCCAAGGCTGCTCAATAGATTATTGTTGTGGTTAAGAGTCTTCTGTTCGCTGCTGAAAAAACAGTCAGCCCCTGTCTTCATTTGCATCCCAGTCTGTAGAAGGTGGAGAGAAACTTTGCTCTCAGCTCAGTTAACGCGTGCATCAGTCCCACTGGGTATGGGAAGTGTTCATGTGTGGAGCAGGGTACGACAAAACTGACATGATGGAAATATCAGAACTTTATGGCCCCAAACTAAAATATTCAGAACAGCAAACAGCGCTCTTATGAACATCTATAACAGTTTGTGAGGGTTCTCAGATTTTGAGTCTCAAGGCTGTTTCACTTGAATTTTGAACATATTCAAATAATCCACTAGAAGTAGATGTTGAGTGGAACCATCTCAAGTTCTTCTCAATTTAGTTTTTGTAGGTCAGGTGTTCAAGACGACTTTGGGAGAAGCTGAAGACAAAATTGCAAATAAATATGGCAAACAAAATGAGACAGAACTCTGAGACAAAAGCCAGTTACACATCTTCATCTCTTAATCATTAACATATGACATGAATGATATACAGGTTAACTCTAGTTTCTGACCGAAAACAGACCACAACATTACGACCGGCCCGTAAAGCATCTTGAACTGACTTTAGAAAAGTAACATCTTTTCAGTCGCTTCAACAATCAAACATTTGAACCTTTCCGGTTTTTCACCCTTTAATCAGATTTTTTATTTATTTATTTTTTACAGAGTAAACACTTCAGAGGAAAACTGAAACACTTCTCTGAATCAAGTTGTGTCTAATGATATATAATCGAGATAATGAATAATGATGATGATAAATAATGGAGACTAAAGATAAATCAAGGGTAAACAGAAGTGGCTACTTACTGGTAAGTCTGTGAAGGCGATACCTGCAAGAGAATAAAGGCAAGAGTCAGAATGAAGTGAATCGTATCTAAAAACAACAGAAGGCCAGAGAGTCTGTGTTCACAGAAGATTAAATAACCAGGTTATTTCTGCAGAAACCTGATTTAATTAGTCGTGTAAACCAGGAAGGAGGTTTCCTGTAGCTGGTTTACATTTTCGGATTTAACATCCAAACACCGATTTCAGAGCAGAGGACAAAAGAAAAGTGTTTAAAATTTAAAAAGCTGCAGTTTCCTTTCTGCTCTCTGTCTCTCAGATGCAGCGAATACAGGAGAACAAATGTGACTTTTGCTGTAACAGATTTTTCTGTGGAATTAGCTTTTAGCCTTCTGGACATAAAATGTTCCAGATTTTTATTTTATTTTTATTTTTTTCCCACCATTTAATTTTCTACAATATTTATGAAGGAAAATTTCACTGAGCCAAAAACACGTTCAGTGAACTCACTGTGACACGACGCCCATGAACATGTCAGCTCATCCTTGGTTAAATGATTTGTGGCAAAAAGCAGCAATAAAAAACCTCATGGTGCTTTTTAAGGTTTAAGTTTAGGAAAATAAAAACAACCCAGTTGTAAGATGCTCAGAAAAAACATGTTCATCCTTGTTAGATGTGAATTCATCTGAGAAGAATCCATTATTGGGAGGAAGGTGAGCAAAATAAATCCAAAGTGAATTAATAAATGACAATAATAATACTGTATAATAAAGGGAATGACAACATTTACTCCATTGCAGCAACCATTAACAGAAATTAGAGGTTGAGCATCTTAATTTGTGTTTCGATAATGAACATAGCTCTTCATTCAAATATTGTTTTATTAGATTCGATTTTACTAGATTAACACGTGCTCCATGTAAATACACACACATCCATTAAATAAAGAACTGATCCAGAACCAGAGGGCAGCTTGATGATTTCCATTTTCACTTTTCATAATAAAAATCATCCCTTTAACCGAGCACAAATCTGTACCGAAGAGCCCTGCGGCTTCGGTTCTGCTTACCTAGGCTGTGGCCGTTCTTTGTGTAAAAGCAGGTGTTGTTGATGAGGTTAACGCAGCAGCCAATCACATCGCCCGTTGTAAATGTAGGTCCGTAGGGTTGCCCGGTGCCAGAGGAGCAGAAGGAGTGGCCATCGTCTCCGTGATAACCATATGAGTGCTTGTCCCAGCCTGAGAGCAGCAGAAAGGTTCAAAAGGAAACTTTATTGTTCATAATCCTGATGACAGTACCACTGCTGTGATTAAAGCATAAAAACACACAAGTTTATAACACAGAAACAAATAAATTGGTCTTAAATTTAAAAACAATCTGCATGATCTTCCCAGGAGAAAACGGCCAGAAACGAAATCTGGGAAGGAGAAAGGGATCGACCAACATTCCTACTGAGGATGCATCCAAAACCCTGCACTAATGTCCCCCAGACTCCTTTGTGCCTCTGCAGGGTGTGCTTTGTTAACGTGAACAGAGCAGAGTTTTAACTCAGGATCTCATCTGGGCACTCAGAGAAATCAGCTGAACACACATATAGTGGGGCAAAAAAGTATTTAGTCAGCCACCGATTGTGCAAGTTCTCCCACTTAAAATGATGACAGAGGTCAGTAATTTACATCATAGGTACACTTCAACTGTGAGAGACAGAATGTGAAAAAAAAATCCATGAATTCACATGGCAGGATTTTTAAAGAATTTATTTGTAAATCAGGGTGGAAAATAAGTATTTGGTCAATAACAAAAATTCAACTCATTACTTTGTAACATAACCTTTGTTGGCAATAACAGAGGTCAAACGATTACTATAGGTCTTTACCAGGTTTGCACACACAGTAGCTGGTATTTTGGCCCATTCCTCCATGCAGATCTTCTCGAGAGCAGTGATGTTTTGGGGCTGTCGCCAAGCAACACGGACTTTCAACTCCCTCCACAGATTTTCTATGGGGTTGAGGTCTGGAGACTGGCTAGGCCACTCCAGGACCAGGACTTTTCAAATGCTTCTTACGGAGCCACTCCTTTGTTGCCCGGGCAGTGTGTTTGGGATCATTGTCGTATTGGAAGACCCAGCCACGTTTCATCTTCAAAGCTCTCACTGATGGAAGGAGGTTTTGGCTCAGAATCTCACGATACATGGCCCCATTCATTCTGTCCTCAACACGGATCAGTCCTGTCCCCTTAGCAGAAAAACAGCCCCAAAGCATGATGTTCCCACCCCCATGCTTCACAGTAGGTATGGTGTTCTTGGGATGCAACTCAGTATTCTTCTTCCTCCAAACACGAGTTGAGTTTATACCAAAAAGTTTTACTTTGGTTTCATCTGGCCACATGACATTCTCCCAATCCTCTGCTGTATCATCCATGTGCTCTCTGGCAAACTTCAGACGGGCCTGGACATGCACTGGCTTCAGCAGCGGAACACGTCTGGCACTGCAGGATTTAATTCCCTGCCGTTGTAGTGGGTTACTGATGGTGACCTTTGTTACTGTGGTCCCAGCTCTCTGCAGGTCATTCACCAGGTCCCCCTGTGTGGTTCTGGGATTCTTGCTCACTGTTCTCATGATCATTTTGACCCCACGGGATGAGATCTTGCGTGGAGCCCCAGATCGAGGGACATTATCAGTGGTCTTGTATGTCTTCCATTTTCTGATAATTGCTCCCACAGTTGATTTTTTCCACACCAAGCTGCTTGCCTATTGTAGATTCACTCTTCCCAGTCTGGTGCAGGTCTACAATTCTTTTCCTGGTGTCCTTCGAAAGCTCTTTGGTCTTGGCCATAGTGGAGTTTGGAGTCTGACTGTTTGAGGCTGTGGACAGGTGTCTTTTATACAGATAATGAGTTCAAACAGGTGCCATTAATACAGGTAACGAGTGGAAGACAGAAAAGCTTCTTAAAGAAGACGTTACAGGTCTGTGAGAGCCAGAGATTTTCCTTGTTTGAAGTGACCAAATAGTTATTTTCCACCCTGATTTACAAATAAATTCTTTAAAAATCCTCCCCTGTGAATTCATGGATTTTTTTTCACATTCTGTCTCTCACAGTTGAAGTGTACCTATGATGTAAATTATTGACCTCTGTCATCATTTTAAGTGGGAGAACTTGCACAATCGGTGGCTGACTAAATACGTTTTTGCCCCACTGTATTACTGGTATTTCTACAGAAAACACACTTCCTGACATTCTAAAGGACAGCGTATTAAAGACTGGAGAGTGGTAGTTCTGTTTTAACCTTAGGAACCAGGAGGCAGAACCAGCGAGTTACAGCTGAGCGGCAGAATTAATCCAGCCACTGCTGCATTCATCACTGAAGTACGGCGCTAAACTCTGCATCATCTGGCATCCACTCTTCAGTGATTAGTACGTTTTCATCAGCTCTGTCCACCAGGATGCTACAGTTTGCTCTGGCCTCTTTATCTTCATACGGAGAGGCTGTTGGTTTGGGTGGGTCCAGCTCTCACACTGGTGAAGAGATGTCTGGGCTCCAGTTTGGGCTGATAACCTCAGCAGAGGACATCTGACGACATTTTCATCACCAGCACCACGCCATCAAAGCAACAGACCACAGAAGATATGGTATAATCCTCCCATAGTGTGGAGGCTCGGTTAAAAACAGCTGATTATAGTCTAAATCTGTGTATTTTTGCCAGTTTCAGTGATCATCATCATCCAGAGTGGATACATGAAGACAGTCCTGATGATGTAGTGAATTTTGTAGTAGCTGGGAGTCATTCTCACATACAGTGAAACTACGATCGTGCATTAGGTTGAGATGTGAGCAGAGTTGGTTTTATTTATTTGAAATTCTCATTTTAAATCCTCCTGCTGAAATAGTTTTAGTTTAGAGCAACTAAGGCTATGTTCACACTGCAGGCCTTGATGCTCAATTCCAATTTTTTTAGTAAATCAGACTTTTTTGTGTGTGGCTGTTCACATTATGACTGAAATACGACATCAAACTTTCTCCAGTGTGAACGCTTCATGGCCCCAAAGCAACACGCCTGGGGAGAAGAAAAAAAGTCACACTCAGTGGAGTCGGAACCAGGAGAGGCTGAGTTGTGATGTGAAGGCCTTCACAGACACAGGATCAAGATCACACCAGTCAAGTCTCCCGTTTTGGGCTGGAACCGGTTTTAAAAACTAAACTATTTTACTCCTTTTTCCTGCCATCTTACCGAATTATTTTTCACCAAAAATGTTCCGGTAATAAGTTCATTCACGGAGAACCTAACGCTCTCACAGAGACCCTTACCCCTCCTTTCACAGAGAAGGAGAACGGTGAGATGCTTGCTCCAGCAGCATCTCTCGCTGCTGTCCAAACAGCATGTCCAGGATGTCCAGACAGACTCCTTAGTCCTTCAGTCAGCACTTCTCCTCAGGAACGTCAGCACAATGTTCACCTCCGCTGACTCGGTGACACATTTAACGCGACATGACCGTTCAGACTGCAGTCGCTTTCAAAAACATCAGATATCGTAATCAGTACAACATATGAAAGTGACACGGATCGGATTAAAAAAAAGGAAAAAAATTAATCGGATTTGATGCGCATTTGCCTGTAGTGTGAACGTAGCCTAACAGAGTGGGAACACCACTCAGCTAAATGACATTATTAGTGATGTCCCGATCCGATCACATGATCGGAAATCGGCCACGATCACGTGGTTTCAGACTGATCGGGACTCAGGCCTTACTTCTCTGTCCAAGCCCCGATCCGGAGTTGGATACTGGGTTCAAATTAGGAGAGCAACTTGGTTCTCCTTAAAGGTTGTCAGGCTACCCTGGTGCCCTTAACTTACACACCCAGGAGCACAAAAGAGATCCAGTTTCTACCTATATTATATTATTTACATGGACTCAAGAGTAGCGGGGATTCTTTTGAGCAGAGCGGCAGGCAGACCGCTGATTATTCATGAACTCCAGCTGCGTTCTGCAAACGGCCACAGTAACATTTTCTAAGTTTCTAAGTGGCATCACCAAAAAATATACAATTAACACACAGTCATTCGTGTCCATTCATTTTCTCTCTGGTGTAACGTGAGGAAGTATGGGTTTTCTGTGCCAAAGGTCGTATTTGCCCGGCTGGGTCAAAGCTGGGTCACAGAGCAACTTTCACCCACAGATTAAGACCTGAGCCGACAGCAAGTCTGACGGACTCCACAACATCGAGAACACCTGCAGCTTCAGAAGAAGGACTTCTCACACAATCTAGTCATAATAAAAGAGTCTTACGCTTTCTTTGTTTATTAATGCTAAATAATCATTTTATCACTTTGCTCATTGTAAATGTATTTTAATCAAATGAATGATTATTATGTTTTGGGTAATCATAATGAACTATAATGAATCAGTATACTTAATTAAATAATGTTTTTGAAGATGTTTAGCAATGACCTTCACACTTCTCACACAGGTCCCACTTCACAGTAACTCAAAACACATTTGCTCTGATGCACAACAAGTTTGCTTTGGGAAGAGAAGTGTTTTTTGGTAAGTTAGAGAGAACGAGATTGAGAACGAAAGAGAGCGGACGTGCGGAACAAACGCCAACGGGGAAAGGAGCCCTGCCGGCTCCCCCCCCCCCACGCTATTTCTGTCAAGCCAGACAGAATAGCTGAAATGCAACCAGCTAACGCAGACTCGTCCCAGAGTCTTTGATTTCTGAGTTAATTTAAACTTGAGAAAGCGCATCTGCTAAACACTTCATCAACGTGTACCGAGGTCAACTCTGGACTGGACCGTCAGCACACCTTCGTCTTCTCTGCCAGCCAAGGTGTCATCTGGATATAACATCCTCCGAGGTCCGGATCTAAAAGAGGGTCCTGAGTACGGTGAGGCAGAACACAATAGATAGCGTTCTGATGCAGTTTTTCTAATAAGAACTAAAGTTTAACTCAAAACATCATTTTTCACTCAGATTCACCTTTTCTCTCCCTGAAGCAATCCCAGACACCTGCATGCACGCATTCATAATTCCATCCTCAAATCTTAGCACATCCAACACAAGGTCTATTTGTGCAAGCTTAAAATATCAACTGCTAAAGATTGTCCAACAAGGTTGCCAATGTTGATTGTTTTCCTATGATTGTCATTTCAAATCATTAGTTTAAATTGAAGAATTTAAATCTCTTTAAAATTTAAACTCGCCTTTTCATTGAACTGAAACACAGACAAACGGATATGATCGTCAGTTTATCGATGAAAACAACCTTTGAGTCTTCTTATCGCTATAAAATTTGGTTATTAATTTATTAAAATTAATATTCCAGATTATTATGTAGGATGGTTCATCTTTCATAAAAGAGCCATAAACGCTACACTGGTGAGTTCTGTCTGTATTTGAGCAGGACGTGTGGACGCGCTCGCGCTGCCCCCACTGCAGCGCTCGTCACTGGCGCAGCTGGGCAGCGCATCGCACACTCCGCTTTTTTTGCGGGCAATAGATCAATTTGACCTGCTAGTTAAAAGTTACTTGTGAGGTGAAAAAGAAGGAAGCAGGCAGGAGTTTTTCTGGAGGACTGGGAGATGCAAGAAGATCAGAGACAGACAGGAAGATAGGAAAATAAAAACCAAGAAAACAAAAAGTTCCTAAAAAAATAAAATGTAGGTAGATTTATCCCACTACAAGTTTGTACCTGTATAAAGCAATAACTTATCAGCATGTAGTATTTATATAGCTGATACAGTTCAGATCATCTTCAAAACTCCGTCCCATGCCCAGGGACGTATCTAAGCATTTTGGGGGCCGAGGCAAAATAGACCCCTGCCAGGTATTTAAAGTTTAAGTGCCATCTGTTTTTATATTAGACTTTTTATATTTGCAATAAAGTCCAAAAGTGAAGAATTTATGTTATTTATTACTTGACTGTACAAGCTACCTCACAGAAGTGATCTGTTGTTAAAAATTAAAATAAAAAGGTAATTAAATAAAAAATAAGGAACATTCTGGAACGATTTCTTCCTTTTCTTAGTGTTTTTATGTATCAAAAGTATCGGATCGGGACTCGGTATCGGCACATTCTCAAAATCAAATGACTCGGACTCGAGGGCAAAAAAACCTGATCGGGGCATCCCTCATGCATTATTTTGTCTCCTGTACCATCTTCACATCTGTATAAACACGGGCACAGCCACACCAGCAGCAAACATGCAGATGTAATCAGATAATTGCAGAGCTCCCCTTCCATGGAGTACACCCCCAGTAAAAGTATTTGCAGGCAAAATAAAAGAAAAAACAATCATCCTGTCCACTTACCAGGGAGTCGGTTCATATTTACACCCTGAGCTGAGAGGCCAATTCCCATGTACCTGTTGGACACACAGGACAGTTATGTAAGTGATGTCACCGTTGCCGTTAATACTGAATTCTGCAGTTTGTGTTTTCATTAAAGCAACCTTATTCTAATAGTTAAAACAGCAGTGAGGAAAAAGCTGGTATACGCAGTGGTTTGTTTATGAACGCATCTGTGTTGGATGTGCCGTGCTTGAGTTCAACATGGACAAATAAAACAAGCCTTGAGATATAATGTTGAGTGTTTGCAGACAAGTCGAGATGCAGCCATCCCCAAACTGCTCCTGAGCCTAGAGGAATGATTTTACACATGTTTGAACAAATAAAAAAGCAGAGAGCAGCCATTTTAATGTAGTCCTGTTTTCTTTGTGCAGTCGTCATTGGCAAACGACCAATGAGCCACAAGGTTGAAGCAAACACAGCAATACAACAAGGAAATGCAAGTCATGGACCGTGTCTCTGAAGATATGAACATTATCAATATACCAACAGCTGCTGTTTGGATCGCTGGCTGTAATGCACATAACACACAAGCTTGCAATATCCCCTATCCCCCTATCCCCCCTCCAGCTCGGCTGTGTGACTGCACTAACCTGTCCTGTGGGACCCTCATCAAGTAACCCTCATGTCTATGCTGTGCAGATATGAAACAAGACCTCGTGTAACTTAAAATGAACCAAAGCTTCCTCCCAGTTTCTCTTTAAGCTTAATTTAACATCAGTTTATCATCAAGAAACAAAAGAATTAAATGGAACAAGAACTTCTATCTTCTATTTCTCTCTCCTTCAAACTTCTGTGTCCCTAAATAAAAGAGACAGATTATCACGCTGCAGCCACCGTCACTGACCCCGCTCCCTCCCCAAGACCGGATCTCCCGACATCACAGCACTCTGTCTGACTGAGCGCTTCGAGGAGAAATAACAATGAAATTATTAGGGCTGTAGCGACGCCTCGATGACGTCGACGGCTCGATTCTAAAAATTTGTCGACGTCAGATCCGGTAGTCGACGCACCGCGCACACTTGTTGCATCCACAGGAGTTTGTAAATAGAAGAGGAATCTGCATGTTTTTCCTCTAGTTCGCCCTCTTCTCCACCTTCACTAACATCTCCGCCAAATACCGAAGACCCGGAACAATGTCCGTCCACTACTAAATTCCTTTCCTGTTTTGCCCGCCTTCGTCTCCCGGCAACGGATAACAACTTCCGGGGTCAGATGCGCTGCTCCGTTTCTATCGCAGATGTAGAAAATCACCGGGAGTGTTTCTCCCATAAAGGAGCTTCTTTCAGACATTAGGAGAGCTGTTTTGGTGGTAGCAGTCTCTCCTCCGTGCTGGGCTGTTTGCTGCTGGGTGTTTTTGGTTTATTTAAACTTGGTAACTTGAACGTAACGTTGGTAAAGCTACTTTTAGCATTTTCGCTAACAGCTTCTTGCGTTTGGATAAGCTGTTACGTTTTGGTTTAGAGTTCATCTTTTTTGTGGTGCAGATCTCCCTTTTATTACATTTAGAGTGTTGCGGGTTTTTGGTTTAGTTGAAAATATCACCTTGAGTTTGGTTTAACCGCCCAGTTTAGAGTTGGACCTTTGGAGATTCTTATTTTTGTCCAGAACCCAGTAATCTTTGCCCAGTGGGACATCCTTACTTATTTGTACTTTTGCTTTAATTCCCCACAGGCAGAATTAGTTTTATTATTCCCAACCTGTAGATGGAAAGGTTTATGTTTTTTTGTAGTTGTAAATAAACCTGATCATCATTTTAACTTTTAAATCCCGTGTTATTGTCCCTTCCTTTTTTGCACACGAGCCAAACTCCCCAGGAAGGGTCGTAACACCACTCGCCTCACGCTCATAAGTGACCTAAACAAAGCAGCATGGAGACACTCCGTCTCCAACCAACTCTCAGGCAGCAGCCTGCACTCCCAAGTTCTACACGTCACCAGAACATAACCAACCAACACAATAAAAGCAGTGTTATACAAAATGAAGGCCTGTAGTGTTTATTCTCTTACAGTAACAATTTATCAATTTTTTTGAGGAATTTATTAGAGATTTTTTGGTTTTTATTAACTGTGCAATAGAAAAATAATCATTAGATTAATTGTCTAAATGGTCATTAGAATAGTCGACTATTCGATAAAATAATCGTCAGAATAATCGTTTTAAAAATAATCGTTTACCCCCAGCCCTAGAAATTATGTAAATAATAATGCGTGTTTGGAGGATTGTCCTCCGATCCTCTCTCCCTCTCTCAGTCGCTGATCGAGCGAGCGGAGGGCGCCGTGTGACAACCCGCTCAATTAACAATTCACGGCCCAAATCCAACAGAACCGATCTGGCTGATTCGGTTCGGGTTTGGTCTCAGACAACTCCAGCGCTCAGCCCTGCAGTACCACATAAAGGCAGACCAAAGTTTCCTACCCGGTAAATGTGGAGAACACCTCTGACAGATGTGGATGCTCCGCTGGTGCAGCCGTTAAAATAACAAAACTACATTCCACTTTAATTGATTAGAGTACTCATCTATGATGCAGAATCATTTATGCACGTATCTCATGCATTGATTATTTGATTATTTTCCTCAGCTCTGTCTATCCTACACCTCCCGGTCGGCCGTTGGTGGGGGGGGGGGGCTTGGGGGCCACAAAGAGAGGGCTTGCGGGTCGGACGTGGCCGCCATTTGCGGACCACTGACTTATAGCAATAACTTAACACTTTAGACCAGTGGTTCCCAAACTTATTTAGCCGCGCACCCCCTTCTATGTCACGACCATGTTGACGCACCCCCCAGCCCCACATCAGGGCATGGCTATATATTATATATATATATATATATATATTAGGGCTGCAACAAACGATTATTTGGATAATCGATTAATCGGATGGGGTCTCGACACGATTAATCGATTAATCGGATTACATAGGGACATTTTTAAAAACTGCTAGGGAAACGTTATTTTTCTCCTTCCTTCAGTTTATTAAACACAACATTATTAGAAAACCGTTCAATAGCAGAAAAACAACATGCCATCACCTAAATTGTCTTATAAGGTGTATAGACAGAGACCCTAAGCTACACCTATCTGTGACCTAAAATGCTTGGTCCAAGTTAAACAGCTTAAAGAGCAAGTCAACCCCTACCAGAGTCTAACTCCACTCCCGCTTCATGTTTGAAAAATGCAACACATGCTGTTGCCTGGCAGACCGAGAGGGCGGAGCCGCTAACAAATACACACACACTCAGGCTCACGACAGCATTGTGACATCATAATGTACCAGTTTACATCATAGCATACTTCTTAGCCAATAGCGGTGGCAGAATTAAATTAAAATACAGTGCAGAGTTTTTACCTGACAACGGCACAACACTGCCAGTTTTAGGCAGAATATTTCAATTTTAACTAAGATGCACTGAAGTGCCAAATTATTGACGACACGTGTCTGCAGCACGATTAGACACTCGTTTATTTAGTTTATCAGCAAAAAAAAGTTTATTTGGGGGTGACTTGCTCTTTAAGGGCAATTCTCATCTGTTTTGTTTGATCTCATCTGTAGACATTTATTATAATTGGGGATGTCAAACAACTAATTTTTAAATGTAATTAAACATAGGCTGTGAATTAATCAAAATTAATCACCATTTCCAAAAATGACTGAAAAATACCAAATAAAAGAAAAGTAAATGAATGCCATCCTCCTTGCGATGATGCCCTGGGCAACTGCCATAAAGTCACATCAAGAAATGCTGCTGATCATTCCAATGATCCCAAATAGACTCACATTAGGCCACATGAAAGCAACTGAACCCAAAAATATATTAACCAGTATATAACTGCACTCACACAACACGCCTGCAGCAACAGTTAGGACTCCTCCCTCCCTTTTAAAAGCGTTTTCGCTTCTGAGGACATTGTGGTTGTAAAGCCTCATGTTAGTAGTCTGGCCCCGGTGTGATCAACCAGTTTCTGCGGGAATGTGACGGCGGAACCGGTTCACAGCGGCGCGACCCCCCCCCCCCCCCCCCCCGCCTATCTAATAGCGTCGCGCTTACAATTTTATAGACTTTTTTTAACGAGCTTAGGGCATGTCTAGCCTGTGTAATAATCCGGGGCTTGGGTGAATCACTTGAAAAGTTTTTAACTTACCCGGACACAGAGCTCTCTCCTTCCTCGCTGATGATTCCGACATGCTTGTGTTTAAGACGCTGCATCATCACCGTAGTATCCCCGTGCCATGCTAAGTCTGACCTACAAACGTTGCATGTCTTCGCCTGATTTAACTGAAAATGCTCCCAAACTTTAGAAGTTTTTACTTTTTTGGGGTCTTGCTGCTTCTGCCATGTTCCTCTTACAAACACCTGCCGGCTCTCCACCGGTCTGCGCGCAACGGCGGGCGGGAGGGGAGGGGGCTTTTGGAAGAGTTGCGCAACACAACGAATCGATGACGCAATTCGTTGCCAACGCTTTTAGTAATCGATTTTCATCGAATTTATCGATTCGTTGTTGCAGCCCTAATATATATATATATATATATATATATATATATATATATATATATATATATATATATATATATATATATATATATATGTATAAATAATCAGACATCACGTTAAACCAGGGGTCAGCAACCTGTTCCCATCAAAGAGCCATTATTACTCGTTTCCCACAGTAAAGAAAACACAGCAGCAACCACGGCGTTGTGGGCGGGGCCTACCCTCAGACAGCAGAGAGCTGCTCACAACAGGTGACAGCAGCCGGTACCGGTCGCTCGTGTACGTCAAAGCTGTCTTTCATAAGAAGATAATCAATAAAACAATTTATATAAAGTGGATCCAGAAGTTGTAGCCCGTCTCTGCCTACAATATTTAGATATTTTTCACCCTGTTAGTGGTTTTACTGAGCAGGTGCCCCTTTTGTCATACGTTTCTTTTTAAAACATGTTTAGACTGTTCAGAATATAAATCCAGGCTCTGTCACGTTTGATTGTTGTAATTAAACTTTGTAGGTGGGGAAGGTCA